AACCACCATCTTCAAGTCTCAGCCTCCTGTGTAGCTCAGATTAGAGGTATGAGCCACCTGTGCCTAGCTAAAATAAGGACTTTTTAGTTCATTGTTTTGTTTTTATGGCTTGTCATAGTATCTAACACATCACAGGTAATCAGCAGACACTTCTGGAGTTAATTATGGTGTGGTGGTATATCATTGGCTGGATTTGAGGCAAAGAGCAGAATAATACCGTTGTGTTTTCCCAAAGTCACATTAAATGTTACATTTCCCATTAAGCCTCACAAGAGTGGATATATGCGCCTTAAACAATCCATGTGCAGGCAAAATTTCCTCCTGATGGCTGAGACCAAAGGTAGATTTACTGAGATGGTTTTGATACTTGTACCCAACCAGACTCTAAGCTTCTAAGCAAAAGACTTTTCCTCTATTTCCTTCACCAACTCTGGCTCATATATGCCCTTCATACCGTAAGGCACTCAGTGTATATTGGTTGATCAGACTTGGATTTATCTGATATCATGAAATACATTGATACATAATATCAGACACTATTGAATTCTTTAGATTTCAGAGTTTTTTTTAACAATCATATAATTTTATGTAACAGAGGTATATATTCATTCTTGCTGTACTGCCTATCTGATTAATATTTAATACAAGTTTGAATAAAAAAGATACAGCACTCTAGATTTCCCAAGATCATATTGTCAATATAAATCTGAAACTTTAACACCCTGAGTGCTTTGGGATGCAAGAATTAAGGAATCTTCCCAGTGGCTGTTCTAGGAAGGAAGTCTTTAAAAGAAAGAACACAAAGAACAGAATTATCTTAAGAACACACAAGATTAATCACCAAAATTGATAGTCAAATAGACATTTTTCAAATGAAGGGATATATCTGGCCAATAATTACATTTAAATACATTCAGTGTCTTTAGCCATCAGGGAAATGCAAGTCAAAACCACACCTACATTCTAACTTATCCTGGTCAGAATGGCCATCATCAAGATTAAAAATTCTGATGAGGATGAAGTGGGGGAGGGTGCATAGACTCTTATTCACTGTTAGTGGGAATATAAATTAGTCTATACACTATAGAAATCAAAACTTAAAAATACAACTACCATACAATTCCGCTACATCACTTCTCTGTATTTACCCACAGAATCAAAGTCAGTTTACAAAGATACCTGCACATCTATGCTCAATGCTAAGCTATTTGCCTTAGCTAAGTTGTGGAATCAATCGGTCTAGATGCCCATCAATGGGTGAATGGAAATTGAAAAAATGGCATATCTACTCAGCCATTAAGAAGAATGAAATGATGTCGTTAGTTAGAAAATGGATGGAACTGGAGCTCATCATGTTAAGTGAAATAAGTCAGTCCCACAATGACAAGTATCACACGTTTTGTTTTGTTTCTCATTACTGGAAGCGAAGAGAAATAAAATGAAAACCAAACAAACAAACAAAAAAACAGGTCATGAAAGTAAAGGGGAACTATGAGGATGGTGAAAGAAAATTGGGGAGAACAAAAAGTAATAACAAGGTAAATACAGCCAAAGTACATTCTAAGTAGATTATGTACATGTATAGAAGTGTCATGATTTAATATATGCCAATAAAAATAGATAATAAATACATGAAATCCCTTCCAAAAGTAAATAAAGCATACTGACAACAGTTAAAAAGAATGGACTATAGTTTTTTTTTAATGAATAAAGGAACAGAGAGATATGGGAGAGGCTGAAAAAAAAAATAAATGAGCAGAATTTTCATAGCCCAAATGCTTAGGATGAAATATGGTGATGATATTTTGGTGCAGAGCTACCCTGCAGAAACTCATTGCCTGTGGAATTATGGGAGCAAAAGTTCAACCCGTGGCCTTTATGGTCCTGTAATTTTCCTCCACTTCTCTTCCCACTCATCTCCTCAAATGATCCCACGAGGGTAGATCCTGCCATATGAAACTCTGCAATGCTGTCTGAACTTGACCTTTCCTACCCTACTTTATGATTTCACTCTTATCAGCTTCTGCTTTCTCCTGCTGCTGTGCCTCTGAGGGTAAAATATAGAGCCATGATTTTCTGTTAGTCATTACTCAATGGGTACACTCAATAGGTAGTGAGCATCCTCAAGATGTATAAGGCTTCATGCCTTATGTGATTTATGGTAGAGAACAATTAATGTTAATATTTGCTCGTGAAGAACAAATACCTCCTTGGCTATTTATCCCTGAAATACCAAAATTTATGGTGCTCTTCCCAAATATCTGGGCATGGTATACACTTTGGAAATATCTATACAATCAATGAATAATTAAAATTTATTCTTCTTTCTTGGCAAGGGTGGCTCATGCCGATAATCCTACCTACTCAGAAGGCTGAGATCTAAAGATTGAGGTATGGGTCCAGCTCTGGCAGGAAAGTCTCTTGAGACTCTTATCTCCAATTAACTGCTACTAAAGTAGAAGCAGAGCTGAGGCCCAAGTGATAGAGAGCTAGCCTTGAGCAAAAGAGCTCAGAGACAGTGCCCAGGCCCTAAGTTCAAGCCCCAGGACTGACATACACACAAATGTTATCATTCTCTATGTTTACATGATTCATTTTTGCATATTGTTTCAAGAAAATTAGAACAGGTTCCTAGTCTTAGAATAGCATGCACTACACATAGATAGCTAAGTGATTTAATTAAACCAAAATTCACTAATGTCCGCATGTGCTCGAAAAAATAAAAGCTCATTGAATTTTCAAAATGGAAGGACACTGAAAAGAAAATTCCCTTGTGCTATTTTGTGAAATAAGGACCTAAATTACCTAAGTACAATTGACTCTCTCTGGGACAGTCATGTGCTGCTATGATCCTTTGCTTTTACTTAAACAAACAACTGTTAGAGCTTACGTCATGTTTGCTTGAGAAGAATGTGCTTGTCTGTGGCACATCTCTTCAGCTGCCCAGCACCTCGTAAGCCTAATAAGATCATCCATCTTATTCTCCTGACATGAATGGGTCCCTTGTTTCAAGACATTAATATACTTCATGACCTGACATGGTGGTGCATGCTATATCTTCAACTTTCAGGGAGTAGGAACAGGAGGATTGTGAGTTTGAAGCTAGCCTGGGCAATGGAAAAAAGACCTTGTTTAAACACACACACACACAGAAACCAAAAGGTGGAAGTGAAAAAGAAACGGAATCCATGCCTGCTTTTTCACCTAGGAGACTTGGAGATATTGTATAGCATGCAGAAGCTGCTAAAATCCGGAGCCTGTGCAGAGGCACGAGAGGGAATGGCTTAGAATGAAGCCTCAGTAGGCAGGATGACAGCTGTGATGAAGCCTTTTCATTAGATGTGGGCATCCTACAGGGAATAATGCTGTACAGAGAGGATATTATAGCTCAGGAAGTCTTTAAAGCTCCCTGTATAAATTGAGTGAGCTCTTCCATCTGGCACTGTTCCCCCCCTTCTTTTTTTTCAACAGGTCTTATCCTTTTGTGTGTGTGTGTGTGTGTGTGTGTGTGTGTGTGAGAGAGAGAGAGAGAGAGAGAGAGAGAGAGAGAGAGAGAGAGAGAGAGAGAGAGGGCGAGAGTGAAAGAAGTTGCAATGTTCTGCTTTGCTGGCATAGGAATTTTTTTTCCTGTTGTCAAAGACTTTATTAAATTCCACCCCGGTTACAGATATGATTCACAGGGAAAGTATCATAGCACACGTTTTTTTGCAACCTCAGATCAATTTGAATTACAGTTGGGCAACAGGAGTAGTTAAAAGCATGTGAAGCTAGGTGCTGGTGGTTCATGCCTGAACTCAAGAGATTGAGATCTGAAAATCATGTTCTGAACCCAGCCCTAGCAAGAAGGTCTGTGAGACTCAACTCCAATTAACCAACAAAAAGCCAGAAGTGTAGCTGTGGTTCAAGTGGTAGAGCAGTAGCTTTGACAAAGAACACTCAGGCATGTAGCCCAGGCACGGAATTCAATCCCCCAAACTGGTGTGTACACACACACACACACACACACACACACACACATACACACACACACACTCATGCACACATGCACATCATTGGAATTGGGCACTGGTGGCTCATACTTGTAATCCTAGCTATTCAAGAGGCTGAGTTCTTAGGATTGCTGTTTGAAGCCAGGCAGGAAAGTGCATGAGGCTCTTATCAATTCGCCAGTAAGAAACTGAAAGTGGAGCTTTGGCTTGAGTGATAACCTAAATCCCAGACCCTGAGTTCAAGCCCCAGTAGGAGCACTAAAAATAAAATAAAAATAAAAATAAGTGGCTATATAGCTCAAGTGGTAGAGCGCTCACCTTGAGCTGAAGAGCTGAGGGACAGCGCCCAGACCCAGAGTTCAAGCCCTACAACCGACAAAACAACAACAAAAAAGCCCCAAAAAACAAAAATAAAAACTTATTTCTAGCAAAAGTTTTCTTCAAACCACAAAAGCATAGTAGTAATATATCATACTTATATAGAATATCTGTGAGTTCACAAAGCATATACAAATGAGTCTATCTTGAAATGAATCTTCCTAGTGGCACTTCATTGAAAAGTTAATCTACAACTAAAATCATCGACATTGAATGCCAACAATCGTAGTTTTGCAGGAAAAAATCAGTATACTCTCTGATGAAAAGGAAACAAAACTTGAACTTCAGTGCACATTCATTGATCAAGACACATTGTGTTCAGTTTCTGAATGTGAAGATACCTGAGATCTTGCTGAAGGCTCACCACACCAAATCTACTCTTTCCATTACAACATGGTATTTATAAAATAAATGTGTTTAAACAAGCCAAAACTTATACTACTGTAATATATATATAAATATATAGAACAAAATGGAAGTAAAAATGTTACCACCAAATGATGAATGCTGCCTCTCTCTCTCTCCTCCCTTTTTCTTTTTCTTCAAAACTGCCTTTCCTTCCATTCCTTTTCTTCCACTCTCTCCCCTTTCTCCCTTTTCCACTCCCCCTTTTTAAATTTATCATTGATGCAGGTGTTTAATATCGTCCAACTGCCATAAAGCAACAGCTTCTTTTTCCTCTTCAGAAAATTAAACCAAACACAAGATGAAAATGTGGTTGCTGGTCGGTCCTCTTGTTTTATTATCTTTTACAACTTGTCTAGCAGGTAAGAAATAAGCCTTACATTACTCTCCATCAATTATGTCAACACAATAATCAATATGTTGTTTCCATTTCATTAAATTTGTTGTATAAATTTAAATTCATATTTTCTTTTGACACATGGGACACAAATAGTTCAATTTTAATATTGACATTATTTTTCAAGATGTTTACGTTCAAGTAAAATTTAACATCATTTAGTGAACCTTGTACTGGGAAACATTTAAAATTTGCGTCTCTAGGGGGAGGAGATCTATAGAGTAGCATTTGTCTATTCCTGGGAATAAAACCCAAGGATGATCCATATGCTTGCTGTCATTTACAATGGAATTAGGAAGTTGAGCAACAAGCTGGGTGCTGGTGACTGAGGCTCACACCTGTAATCCCAAGTACTCAGGATGAGAGCTGCTGACTGAGGTTCAAAGCCAGACCAAGCAGACAAATTTGTGAGACACTTACCTCCAATTAACCACCAAAAAGCCAGAATTGAAGGGTGGCAGAGCACCAGCCTTGAATAACAAAGCTAAAGAAGAGCAAGAGACCTGAATTCAAGCCCAGGATTGGCGCGCGCGCACACACACACACACACACACACACACACACACACACACACACACACACACACAGAGTATATAATATTCTCACTATCCAGAAAATATAAACTTAATTACCTTAATTAAAGAATAAAATAGTAAATAGTAAAATATCATTAAAAGAATTATTAAGTAATGGATTTAAACATGTCTTCTCATTGTTCTTAATAAAATTTATTTATTTGTAGCTCAGTATCATGCCATTTTTATATTGTGCTTAACAACTGATTCATTAAATTCATCAGTTTGTGAGGGTTTTTTTTGTTGTTGTTGTTTTGATGCTTGAACTCAAGAGTGTAGGCCCTGTCCCTGAGCATTTTTGCACAAGGCTAGTGCTCTACCAGTTGAGCCACAGCTCCACTTCGAGCTTTTTGTTGGTTAATTAGGGCTGAGAGTTTCACAGACTTTCTTTTTCAGTTGGCTTTGAGTCTTGATCCTCAGATCTTAGCCTCCTGAGTGGGCTAGAATTACAGGCATCAGCCACAGTGCCCAGGTTGAGAGCTCTTTTGAGCAAATGCAACACACTATTGCATCTTACACATTTTTCACCAGTCTAGTCAATTTTAGGAAGATTAGGCTTAAAATAGTTCATATTTTGTTACATGAAGTAACAAACAATTCTGAGAGCATTCTAGTTGGAGGATCAGGAAGTATTACATTTCTGTCTGCCAAAGAAAGTTATAGCATACATTTCAGAGGTGTCTCCTACAATGACATGTCTGCTATATTTTTATAGGAAAGGTACGTGTTTTGTAACAATTTTTCTAGTATCTTCATCTCAGTGACCTAATTCAATAAGTACTTGTTGAGTTGCTTTTCAGTCCAAAGTACAGAGGGAGCTCACCCTATCTGACATATCTTCCTGCTGCTCACATTCATGATGAACCTGAGGAACATTCTATTATGGTTCTTGTTCATTTATTCATTTGTTTTCCTGGTAACTGGTTTACTGGTACTCAAACTCTTGCTCAATTTTCTTGTTCACAGCTAGTATTCTACTACTTGAGTCATGTCTCCTTCCTAGATTTTTGCTGGTTAATTAGATGTAGAGTCTCAAGAACTGTTATGGTCAGACTGACTTCAAACTGAAATCCTGAGGATTTCAACCTCCTAAATAGCTAGGATTACAGGCATGAGTCTCTGATATCTAACGTACGAGTGTGTGCGCTCGCGCATGCGTGGGCACGTTATTACTGGGGCTGAACCCAGACTGGCAAAGATAAAAAGAAAAAAGAAAATATTTTGGTAATGTTATCGTCATTACATATAATAAATGAAATAATACGAAGGTGATTCTACTACATCCAAAATTCCACCCTAATTGTATTTATTGCTTTCATGCTACAACTATCTAATGTGAAGACAGGTCATAAACATCTATACAGATGTGAACATACATATTTTACCTCTAATCGTGAAGAGCCAGTATTAATTTTCACTGAGTAGCATCTGAGTTACTTTAATCATGTTTGAAATCACAACTCAAATGGCTTATGATCACAACTGTTTTTTTCTTTTATTTTTAGAGTTTACGTGGCACAGAAGGTACGGTCATGGAGGTAAGTTGACCAGAGGGTAAGCCTTTTTGATAGCTTTCTTCAATTAAATCACAACTTTTATTTTGCTTTAAAGCAAATGACTACTACTAGATCAATTTGAAATTTTATCAATATTTTTTCCTATGGTCATTGATTTACTTATGTTACTTGCTGAGAGAGGTGCAAGAGTCAGAATCAAATAGTATTGTAGTAAATGGAAAATATTGAATATAAGGAATATTCATTTTTTTCCTACATTCTTTGTAACAATGCTATTCTACTAAATTTCTTTTTTTTGTTTTTATAATGAAACAAATCCAGGGTCTTGTACATATTAGGCAAGCTCTATATTACTGAACTACAACCCCTCTAGGCAACTAAATTTTGAATATTTTAAGTATCACAACAGTATTTAAAATATTGTCACAGTGTGTGTGTGTGTGTGTGTGTGTGTGTGTGTGTGTGTGTGTGTGTGTGTGTGTGTGTGTGTGTAGGTCCTAGGGCTAGAACTCAGGGCCTGGAATCTGTCCCTTAGCTTTTTCTCTCAAGGGTAGTGTTCTGCCAATTGAGCCACATTCCACTTTAGCTGTTTGCTATTAATTAGAGATCATGGACTTGTCTGCCTAGGCTGACTTTGAACCTTAGTTCTCAGATCTCAGCCTCCTGAGTAGCTAGAATTACAAGTGTGAGTCACTGGCACTTAGCTATATTTTATTGACAGTAAATATTGAAAGGTTACCTATTACCTATGACCTGAAATGATTAGCGCATCAAAGTATTTGAAGTCTAATCCCTATGTTTTCTGTTCTCTTATCAGTTCCAAGTGGTAAGCATGGAAATAAAGAGCTACAATACATTTTGGGACAATATATGGATTGTCCCATTTAGCAAGCTTACTACATTTCAAGAAAGCTTGCACCATTTTCCAGTCAGTGATGATTGCCATACTGTAAATATTATAAAATTTTCTATATTAAGATGCTTTGAAGTTTCATGGCATTGCTTTTCTCCAATAGATCTTTCCAGAGACCCTTCTTACCCACATACTTATATAAAATTATGTTTAATAACTAACCGATCAAGATGACATATTTCAGAATGAGAAATGGAATGTATTTCAACACAGAGATAAGTGAAGAAAAATAATTCCCAATCACAAGCTATAATTTTACTTATACCTTCTAAAACAAAATCAAACAGCAGGATTGCTAGGGACCACCTCCACATAGTGAGAGATATCTTCCCATTTTATATCAGACAATCAACTGATTGCATTAATTATAAAACTGAAAACTTCAGTTCAAATAAAGCATTCATGCTTGTCTGTCACTCATATTTATAAATTTTGCTGCAAATACTCATGTGTGATTTTTCTCTTAATCTGTGTGTGTGTATGTATGAGAGAGAGAGAAAGACACAGAGAGAGACAGAGAGAGAGAGAGAGGGAGAGAGAGAGAGCACCAGTACTGGAGCTTGAACACAGGGCCTGGCTGCTGTCCCATAGCTTTTTCTTTTAAAGTTGGTGCTCTACCACTTGAACCACACAGCCACTTCTAGCCTTTTGCTAGCTCATTGCAGAATCTCATGGATTTGTCTGTCTGGGCCAGCTCTTAATCTCAATCCTTAGATCTAAACCTCCTGAGTAGCAAGGATTAGAAATGGGTGTCATTGGTGTCTGGCTTTCTTAATCTTTTTGAACCAGTTAAAAAATTGTAATTATTTCTACTAAACATACAACTACCTTATGATCTAGCAATTCCATTTCTGGGCATTTATCCCAAAGATTACAAACCAGGATACAGTAAAACCACCAGCACAACCATGTTCACTGCAGTACTATTCTCCATAGCCAAGGTATGGAATCAGCCCAGATGCCCCTCAATGGCCAAGGGGATCAAGAAAATGTGATATATATATATATATATATATATATATGTATATATATGCAATGGAACTTTGGAACTTTACTCATCCATTGAAAAAAATGATGCTGCATCATTGCAAAGAAATGGGAGGACCTAGAAAAAATTATGTGAAGTAAGGCCCCGAGAGACAGAGGCTGCATGTTTTCCCTCAAATGTGGAAGCCAGAGTTGATTTATAAATATAAAAATAAATAAATAAAAATAATTAAATTACATAGTATATAATTAATACATAAATGTATTAATTTGAATACAGTAGATTTGGAGGAGAATTCAAACAGTATAATTCCTTAGGAAGGCAAAATCATAGCTTAGCAAAATAAACACCAGTTGGAGTGTGGTCAAGGGGTGGGGAATAGATTAATAAAGAAAAATGGGACAGAAAGCAGTCAAAAATTCAGTATAGGGGCTGGGAAGGTGGCTCAGTGGTAGAGTGCTTGCCTTGCATGCCTGAGGCCCTAGGTTTGATTCCTCAGCACCACATAAGCAAAAAGAAAAAAGCCAGAAGTGGTGCTGTGGTTCAAGTGGTAGAGTGCTAGCCTTGAGCTGAAGAGCTGAGGGACAGCGCCCAGGCCCAGAGTTCAGGCCCCACGACTGGACCCCCCCCAAAAAACAAAATTCAGTATATATCTTACAAATTTTAAGAAAAGTGAAGGAAGGGTAAGTTGGGAGAAATGGATGAGAATGTTGAAAGGGGTGACATTTATCAAAATGTACTGTATTCATAAGCTGCTTTGTTGAATGGCAGCTCCTTTGTGCAACTGATTAAAATTTTTTTAATATTTAAAAATATTTTTTTAAAAGTGTAAAATTATTTCTGCAGTTATGATATGTGGCATTCTGTGACAGGAATGCATTTCTTTATTACTTTACAAATGTGTTACTTTAACCCAATCAAGGCAATTTTAAATGAATACTACTCACATGACTTCAAAATGATGAGAGTAGCTCTTTCAAGGAAACTAGTAAGATTCTAACTTCAGTGGAAAACGCTAATTTATCACCTTCTCTATAAATGACTCTGCTGGAGGCCATTATGAAAGGAGATGCTAGACAGGCAAAACTGTCTAACATTTTAATTTTTATTTAATTTTATTTTTTTAATTGTTCTGAACTTCAGATGGTTGTACAAAGGGGTTACTATTTCACATTCCATCAGTCGTGTCCAGTGCTTCTTGATCAGAGTCGTCCCTTCCATCCTTCTCCCCCATCCTGTCGGTTCCTCACCCCCCTCCCAGACTCATTTCACATTTCCTACTTCCTTGATCACATACAGACACTGAGTATTCTGGGGGTATTTATCCTCAGTTCTCTTCTTCATTCATCCCCCCTTCTCACCGCTCCCTCTCCCTTACAATCTCATATCAGCTTCATGATACTTATTTTGTGAAGCTGCCAAATTGTTCAAAAGGTTTATTCCATGGAGATCCAGCCTGCATATACTATACTGAAGTCAATGGAATCCTGTACATAGCCCATGCTTCTGTTGTGTTTATATGGGAGATTATATTTTCAGTCTTCTTTTTTTTGTATTGCCTGAGATCAGACACAAACTCAGTACCTGATGCTTTTGCTCATTGGCTAGTGCTCAACCAGCTGAGCCATGCCTCCAACCCCTATTTTAGGCCTAAGATCTACATATGAAAAAAAAAACACATATGCTTTGTCTTTCTGGGCTTACTTTGTTCAGTTTGATAGTTTCCACATTATTCCATTTCCCTGCAAATGACATAATTTCATTCTTCCTGAGAGCTACATAAAATTCCATTGTGTTTATATTACATTATATATTATATTATATATTACATATATATGTATGTGTATGCACATACATCCACACACAACAATTTGTTTATCCATTATAGAGAACATAGGCTGTTTCCATAACATGGCTATTATAAACCATGGTGTAATGAACATGGGCATACAGGTGACTCGGCTGTATCTTGTCATGTAATCTTTCAAATAAACACCCAAGAGCGGTATCACTGGATCACACGGTAGCTCTATTTTTAGTATTTTTATCTGAAAAACACAATCAGGTTAACTAAGGCAATCCCACACCTGGGAGGTGAGTTCAAGTTTTATGATATCATATGTAATCAATACTCACTTCTCCATTATTAGTGGGCCTGATCTTTAGTTAGTTCATTCTACCAATCGGTTGCTATGAGATGTAAGGTGGAGAAAGTTCAAATGAAAACCCTCAAGGCAGAAGACCAGAGATTGTCATCACAGTGTCTTTTGCCAAGCAAAACACTTTTTATTTTAACAAACTCCAAATCACCTATTTTTCTTCTTTCATGCGTTGTATTTCTAGCATTGTGTCTAAAACCTCATGGTTATATCCAAAGCTAGAATCAAGTCAGGAAGTGAAGATACTACCCACTGTAGCTCTCAAGGTGAACATGTGATATGTTTTTCACTGTACAGAGTAAAAACAAATGGGCCAGTCCAGGGCAGGACTGACTTTCTGTTGTACTGGATGAATAACTGGCTCATGCACTCATGTTTTTCCTAAAGTTGATGATAAATAACTACATCATCATCATCATCATGGTTATAACATAAATATCATGAGGTTAAAATATATTTATGAGCTTTAAATCCCCATACACAATACTTTTTGGTTTTCTCAATGCTAATGTCTTCATTTTTTTTAAATTTGGCTATGTAAATGAGTATACCAAAACTATTTCTTCACCAAGGAGTAGAACTCTATTCTTCTTGGCTATTCTATTCTGTTCTATTCTATTATTCTATTCTATTCCTGATGAACTACAAGAAAAAGAATTATAGGAGTAAAGATTTCTATTAGTTCATGAATGAACAGAGATAAAAATACAGAAATAGAAATAATGTAGAATAATAAAAATATAAGTAGAATTCATTTTGCCTATAAGAAGAGAATTTATTTATGCCTTTCAAGAATCTGTTTCTCTGCTTTACTTTCTGGGCATTTTTATATGCACGGGAGGAGAACAGCACAATTTTCCATTGGCAGGTGTTACTAAATTGCTTGTCAGAAAAGCTATCTGAGAGAAACTTGAGGAAATGCTTATGAAGTTGTCCAACTGGGAAGAAAAATAGTCCATGAGTTTTACTGCAGCTCACAGCAAGGTCATTTCTTTTAGTGATTAGAAACCTAAGTCCTAATGTATAAAATCAAAGTCCTTGTCATATGGGACTTGGGTTCATTTCTCTTTTCCCCCTCCTGGTGTGCTGTTACACCCTCAAAGGCCAGCAAAACAGCAGGATCATCAGTAACATTATTACAAGTGAAGCAGAAAACATTATATACATTTCTGGCTTCCTCAGCCTCAAGAGCAATATGCAACTTGAGACAGTCAAGCTTAAGACTCAAAATCATTAGCAGACATCCGAGCTTAAATGGCTCACGCCTGTAATCCTAGCTACCTGGCAGGCTGAGATCTGAGGATCGTGGCTTGAAGCCAGGCCAAGCAGGAAAGTCCATGAGACTTTTATCTCCAATTAACTAGCCAGAAGTTAAATTCAGTGCCAGAAGTTGATCTGTGGCTGCATTACAGGCATGAGGCACTGGGTTCAATCCTTAGTACTACCAAAATCAAGCAAAATAAACTTGGAAAAGATCAGTAAATTCATGAGAATTCCTGAAAAATCAGCATGTATTGATTACTAACTCAAAGTCAGACGCACATGTGTCTTCCATGCATTGTCTCAAAATAATTCTACCTATAACTTTATGAAATAGATTTGAATATCTCCATTTTATAAGAGATGGAGTATTGATAAATGGCACTTTGAGGCAAGCTTGAAGTGACCTAATTAAATGGTTAAGGGCAGCATGGCTCTCAGCTCCAAGGCTGAAGTTAGAAAAGATCAAAAGCCATCATCAGGATGCAAAGGCCCAGAGCCATGAAAGCATGCTTTGATTGAGAAGCTGTGTATACATCTTGGCCAACCCAAGGAATTGATGAGGGAAGAGGGAGCAAATTGTGATGAAGGCAATGTCTTTGTTTCAGATTAAAATGGAGAGATTCTGTGTTTCTGACTTTTAAAAAAAATAACTTTTTGATGTCTCTAAATGTTCTTTGGCTGATCAAAATGGCATTATGTAAAAGAATTTTATTTTGTCTTGCAGTTTCTGAGGAAGACAAGGGATTTGGCCCGATCTTTGAAGAGCAACCAATCAATACCATTTATCCAGAAGAATCTCTGGAAGGAAAAGTCTCACTCAACTGCAGGGCAAGGGCCAGCCCTTTTCCAGTTTACAAGTAATGTGCCTTGCTCTTCTTTTGGGAAGGGAGAGTTGGATGGAAAACTACCACTCAGCCCCTATGAGCCTGTCCTATAAAGAAACCATGGTATAGAGACATTCATATAAATAGTGACATACATGCTGTGAACAGACATTATCTGATATTCAACTCCTGTTTCTTTTTTTGTGTACTGGTACTGGGGCTTGACCTCAGAGCCTGGACACAGTCCCTGAGCTGTTTTGCTCAAGGCTAACACTCTACCAGTTGAGCCACAGTGACACTTCCAGCTTTTTTGGTGGTTAATTGGAGATGAGACTCACGGATTTTCCTGGAGGCTTCTTTTCCTGGCTTTGCACCATGATCCGCAGATCTTTCCACCTGAGTAACTAGGATTGTAGGCATATACTACAAGTTCCTTGCAGTAGCTTTACTTAAATATATGAACATAATTCACTTTCTATTTCATGCAGAGGTGACATTGGACATTATCCATACCAAATTGATCTAATGAAGATAATGCTTTTAAACATGCAAAAGCTATATGAAAAAAGTTCATGACCTAAACACACACACACACACACACACACACACACACACACACGTGTGAAGCTGAAGTGTTTTTGTAGGTAAGGTCTGAATCACACCACAAATGATGGATAACATTTCTGTATTAACTACATGTCAAAAACTAGTAGAGATAATTTTAGAAAGTATTGCCTTTTTCAATAATCACAAATCTATTTATATTTACATTTCTTAAATGTCTCCATCTATTGAAATATATCTATAGAAATATATATATATCTATAGAAATATCTTTCTCTTTTTTCTGAGTTCTGTATTTATGCTATCTATCAAAAATAACTGTATAAAAAGTAACATTGGAGCCAGGCAACAGTGACTCACACCTCTAATCCTACCTACTTAGAAGGCTGAGATCTGAGGATCGTGGTTCAAAGCCAACCTGGGCAGAAATGTCTAATTAACAAACTCAGGGAGTAGAGTGTCAGCCTTGAGTGAAAAGGCTAAGGGACATTTCCCAGTCCATGAGTTCAAGCCCCAGTACTAGAGCATGTGCACGCACGTGCGTGTGCACGCGTGCGCGCACACACACACACACACATACACACACACAATGGATTTTTCTGCTTCAGATGATTCGTATATTAAGTGTCTATTTTGATACAGAGGAAGAGTCAAAAATGCCAATGGATTTGAATTTCATTTGTGAAATGGTTTCATGAAGACAAAGCAAGTGATTGACAGGGAAATGGGGACTGTAGTGGCTTAGTGTCACCTGACTTAATTAAAGGTTGTCACTCAATAAGGTTGATTTTAATAGTAGACTTTTTTTCCTGTGTAGAAAAATAGCATGCTATTGTAATAAAAACAAAGTTATTATCAGAGAATTTCCTCTTACCCCCATTTAATTTTAATTGTATTCATTTTCTCTTGCCTCTGGCTATAATGTTTTTAAGTCTTAAAACATGCACTTAGGTACAAAATCGCCATCACTTTGAAATTATTTTTATTGTTTCAATTTCATGCATGGAAGTGCAATATAAATTATAAATAATACATTGGTTCTAAAAGTATTCAATGGCCTAGACTAATTTCTACCCTCAAGGTGTTCAAAACCAACCCATGCCCAGCCTTAGTCTTGGACTAGCATCACCAGTAGAGTTATGGAGAAAAGAGATCTAACCTAAGACAATTTCACAGGAGAAAAAACTGAATTCTGAGTAAGTAAATTGGTGTGTTGGAATAACTCATAGAGACATCTAGGATTGAGAGTCAGATTTTTATAACTTCCAGGGGACCATACACTCTTTTGGGTATTTATCCATATAAGTAGATTGATAGAATCTCATAAGCTGTTTCAGTGAACATCAGCCACCAACCAGAACAGGATAGTTTCAGTGAGTGTTCTAGAAACACAGTTTGGAAAGGCTATGCCCCTTGCTATTTCTTCCCCACCTGGCAGAGACAGTAAGAAAAAAACACCTGATGGAGTTCCCCAGGCTCCCTTCCCTCTTCCCCTCATCTCTTCCTCCATCTCCCCCTCCCTTCTTTCTTTCCTTCCTCCCTCCCTCCCTCTCTCCCTCTCTTCCTCTCCTCCCCTCTTTACTTCTCCTCTCCTCTTCTCCCCTCCCTTTCCTTTCTCCCTTCCTCCTTCCCTTCCTTCTCTCCCCTTTCTCCTCTCCCTTTTTACCTTCCCTCCCAATCCTCCCCTCCCCTCCCTTCCATCCTCACTCCCTCCCTTTGTCTTATTACTATCAAATGCAGGATACACTCATAACAAAGTTGAACATCCAGTCCCGCCCCCAGCTCTGTATGTTAATGTGCAGCAAATCTGGATGATTTTTTTAAATCTTGCAAGTTTTCAACTTAACTGAAAAGTATTTTCTTGTCAAAGCTAGCATGCTTGTGTGTGTGTGTGTCTGTCTGTCTGTGTGTATCTGTGTGTGTCTGTGTGTGTCTGTGTGATGGTACTTGGGCTTGAATTCAGGGCCTCAAGCTCTTTCTATGGAGCCACAGCTTTACTTCCTGTTTTTTGTTGGTTAATTGAAGTGAATATTAAATTTGTCAGTTTAGCTGGCTTCAAACTTCAATCTTCAGATCTCACCTCCTGAGTAGCTAGGATTACAGGTGTGACCCATAGGCATTGGTAAAACTTTTTTCTACAGGTCTTCTTATCAGCTCTTAGAGAAGATCAGATCTGGATTCCAATCAATTTAATCATAATTTAATCCATATCAATTACTGGTATGATTACCTATATTGCATCTCACCAACATTGTTAGATTATATAGTGGGGGAAAATCCCTTTGCCTAGAATAATTTCTAAGTAATATGAAAAGGCAGCAGTCAGCACTTGCTCTTCTAGGCTAAGGAAAATCAGATTTTACTAGTTTGGGCCTTGGAATAAAAAAACCCAACCCAGTTTTGTCATTTTTCAAACTATGTAAGCGCCTTCTAGTGGCCAAAATATGACACTCACTGAGTTTAAGCCTGATTTCAATTAGTTTTATTGAAAACTTTCCTATTTAGTCTGATATTGAGAGTTTATATTTTACTTCTGTTAGAGATATGCTTTTAATATTCTACATAGCATATATATGTGTGTATAAGACCATCTCATCGATTTCAATTCATAAACTGGGCGTTGATGGCTCACCCTGTAATCCTAGCTGCTCAGTAAGTTTAGATCTGAGGATCGTGATTTGAAGCCAGCCCAGGCAGGAAGGTCCATGAGACTCTTATCTCCAATTAATCACCAAAAAGCCAGAAGTGGAACTGTGTCTCAAATGGTAGAGTGTCAGCCTTGACCAAAATTGCTAAGAGACAGTGCCCAGGATCTAAGCTCGAGACCCAGTTTTGGCATCAAAAAAGGGAGTGGGGGGGAGTCAATTCTTGTAATAAAATTCAACAAAACATTTATTTAGGATGTTTCTATTTAAAAAGAGTAAATACATCATGCAGTTTAACATTGACCTTTCTATACCTTAGTAAATTATAAATCATGAGCTTTTATTTTGAGAATTGTTAAGTTGTGAAGGAATATCAACCTTTCTTATTTACTTAACCATTTTTAATTTTATTTATTGTGTTTTTTTGTATTTTATTATTTTATTTTGTGGTAGTCCTGAAGTTTGAACTCAGCAATGGGACACTGTCCCTTAGCTTTATTGCTCAAGGCTGATACTCTACTATTTGAGCCACATCTCTACTTTCAGCTTTTTTTCTTCTCTCACAGACCTTCCTGCCCAGGCTGGCTTCAAACCTTGATCCTCAGGCCTCAGCCTTCTGAGTAGCTAGGATTACAGGTGTAAGTCACCAGTGTCTGGCTACCATTTTCTTTCATGTGGGGCTATATCCAGATTACTCAGGAGGACTCTAGTAATTACTCCGTTTGGGTCTAGTCAAGTTTCCAGGCCTTGTGATTTTTGCTTGTACTGTTTTTTCTCCTAGGTGGAGAATGAATAATGGGGATGTGGATCTGACAAGTGACCGGTACAGCATGGTGGGTGGGAACCTCGTCATCAACAACCCTGATAAGCAGAAAGACGCTGGCATATATTATTGCTTGGCCTCAAATAACTACGGGATGGTGCGGAGCACAGAGGCAACACTGAGCTTTGGGTGTAAGTTAAGTAACTTCTATGAAAGGGTAGGTTTGTTTAGACAAAGTGAAAATTAGATGTCTCTTAATTATGGGTTGAAAGTATGAATTGTCTGGAGGGTTCAATCTTGGACAATCAATTCTTGGGGCTTTTTCCTTCTATTCCAAAATCCCTCTGAGACACACACTTCTAATCCTAGCTACTTGGGAGGCTGAGATCTGAGAGAATTGTGGTTTCGAGCCAGGCTGGGCATAAAAGTCTATGAGACCCATATCTCCATCTAACTAGCAAAAAAAGCAGAAGTGGAGCTGTGGCTCAAGTGGTAGAGTGCCAGACTGGAGTGGTAAAACCATAGGAGGGCACAAGGCCCTAAGTTCAGACCTCAGTACTGGCACACAAACACAAAAAAATATTACTTAAAAAATAGCTAGGCACCAGTAGCTTATAACTAGTTACTCAGGAGGCTGAGATCTGAGCATCATGGTTTGAAACCAGCCTGGGCAAGAAAGTCCATGAGACTCTTATCTCTAATTAGTCACAGAGAAAACTGGAAGTGATACTGTGGTTCAAGAGCCTTGAGCAAAAGGAGCTCTGCTACTACTTTCTCCAGAGGGGATAGGTTGTTTTTGGTGAGACAAGTCTTCTGCATGTCAAAGTTTGGTTTCTTTTCTGCCAGTACTGGGGCACAGAACTAATAACTTCCATGATTTCCAAATAGGATTCTGCTTTTTCCTGTATTCCTTTCCAGAATCTGAGTGTTTCTTCCTCAGGACCAGAACTAGAAAGCTCAAAATTAGCCCGTTTCTCTAAGTATTTTTTTTTCTTTTTGTGGTGTATTTGCCTTTAGTGGGACTTCAACTCAAGGACTGAGCACTGTCCCTTAGCTTTTTATCCCAGGCTGGTGCTCTATTGCTTGAGCCAACCCTCCACTTCCAACTTCTTGGTGGTTAATTGCAGACAAATGTCTCATGGACTTTTTCTGCCCAGGGTAGCTTTGAACCTTGATCCTCAGATCTCAGCCTCCTGAGTAGTTAGGATAACAGTCATGAGCAGCCAGTGCCTGGTGGCCTCATTCATGTATGGGCTGTTCTGATGGCTGTAGGCTTGAAGCTCATGACAGAACTCCAATCCAGTTCCTAGACTCTAAAAACAAGTTCATTTCCATGGACTTCCCCACACCTATTTCAAAGTATTCCATCCCAGAAGTGAGGCTGTTCCTGAAAGGCTAAATCTCAATGACTAGTGCTCTTTCTATGACTAGTGTTCTCTCCATAACATTCTCTGTTTTGGTCTTTTTCTTTTGTAACCAGATCTTGATCCTTTCCCACCTGAAGAACGTCCTGAGGTCAAAGTGAAAGAAGGGAAGGGAATGGTTCTCCTCTGTGATCCTCCCTACCATTTTCCAGGTAAACTTCATTTCTCTGTGACTTTAAGCATCTAGGAAATGAAAAGGGCACATTGCCATTTTTCCTTGTAATGATGATACATTATTAATGACCTAATTATCCTAATCATCATGGCTTATAATTCATTCAATAAGCCTCAATATTTGCATAACTCTGAAAGGTTTCACTGATTACTGGTTTATAGACACTTCCTTTCTGGCTCATTTCTTGACTCTATGCCAAGGACCTCTAATCATTTATTTCAGTGTATAAACCATATATATGTTCACTTATGTCCTTATTAAAATTCCTCTTAAATGGAGAAATTATTATAGATTTTTCTAGAAATTATGATAGATTTTTCTGAAACAGAACAGCGTCAAAGAATCATTTCCTTAACAAGTTGACATCTACAAATAGACTGTGAATTGTAGCTAAATATCAGATAAAAAAGACGTAAGTTATTAGTCTTTCTTTTTTTTGTCAGTTGTGGGGCTTAAACTCTGGGCCTGGGCACTGTCCCTGAGCTCTTCAGCTCAAGGCTTGAGCCACATCCAGTTTTCATGTGGTTAATTGGAGATGAGTCTCATGGACTTTCCTGCGTGGCCTGGCTTTAACCATGACCCTCAGATTTCAGCCTCCTGAGTAGCTAGGATTACAAGCATGAGCCACAGAGCCTGGCAGTTATTTGTCTCTTTAGGAGCACTAATCTTTGAGGGCAAGTATTCACTTTAGAAAAGAGGCACCCAGTGCTGGTAGCTCATGCCTATAATCCTAGCTACTCAGGAAACTGAGGTCTGAAAAATCATAGTTTAAAGCTAGCCCAGGAAGGAAATTCTGTGAGACTCTCATTGCCAATTAACTGCCAAGAAGCTGGAAATGAGCTGCGGCTCAAATGATAGAGCACTAGCCTCTCATGGAAACAACAAACACCACAACAAACAAGTGAGAACACAAAGCCCTGAATTCAAGCCCCAGTACCAGTGAGAGGAAAGAAAGAAAGAGAGAAAGAGAGAAAGGGAGAAAGGGAGAAAGGGAGGAAGGGAGGAAGGGAGGTAGGGAAGAAGGGAGGAAGGGAGGAAGGGAGGGTAAGGAAGGAAGGGAGGGTAAGGAAGGAAGGGAGAGTAAGGAAGGAAGGGAGGGTAAGGAAGGAAAAAGTGGAGGGAGGGAGGGGGACAAACCTGATCTAGGAAAGGAGTATGGTGGTAAAACATTTGTCTAGCACACAGAAGGTCTAGGGTTCTATCCTCCATGTTTCTAGGAAATAAAGAGAAAGAAAAAAGAAAAAGAAAAAGAAAAAGGGACAAAAATTGAATAGCATTTAGTATGAAATTCAACTTTGAGTAGCTATTTCTTCTAAATTACCTAGCTAAAATAAAACCACTAACGTGTTAAATTAAAAATGAGTACTACCTATACTTACTTTCACTTGCCTTATTTATCACATTTTGCCTTGGGCTAACATAAATAATGCATTTCAAAAGCAAAAAACCATGTTTTTACAGTTTTTTAATTTTTTTATTGTCAAGTTGATGTACAGTGGGGCTACAGTTACATAAGTAAAGTAATAAGTACATTTCTTGTCAAATGTGTTACCCTTTCCCTCATTTTTCTCCTACTTTCCCTCCTCCTCATCCCCCCACAAGTTTTTACGCTCTTTATGTAATAAATTGGCCTTTAGATATCCCCATAGAGAATGAAACAACTGACCTATAATTTTATGTGGAATACATCCGTCCAATGTATGTGTATACACATATGCACACACATATTTCACATGTATTACATCCACATTTCATATCCTGCATGCAAAATTATACACATACTGCATGCAAAGTTATACATATATTGCATGCCAAATTTCCTATATGTATGAAAATTATGTGAGTATATAATTATTGTTGTTACTGTATCAAATATTGATGACTTTCTCTGTAACTATGGTTACCTGATCAATATGCTTCTCACAATTGAAAGTTAAAATAGTCCCACATTATTGAAGTGAGAGACTGTGAGGGCCTAGGCCCTTGCTTGAAGAACAGTTGAAACCATAAATAAACCATTTTATTTTATTTTATTTTATTTTATTTGGGTCCGGTCATGGGGCCTGAACTCTGGGCCTGGGCGCTGTCCCTCAGCTCTTCAGCTCAAGGCTAGCGCTCTACCACTTGAGCCACAGCGCCACTTCCGGCTTTTTTCTTTTTGCTTATGTGGTGCTGAGGAATCGAACCCAGGGCCTCATGCATGCAAGGCAAGCGCTCTACCACTGAGCCACCTTCCCAGCCCAAATAAACCATTTTAATCTTCAGTGTCGCTCATGAAAAGATAATGGTTGAAGGAGAATTAGGATAAGTATGAGCATGTGAAATTTCTACTGGATGTCCAGAAGGACGTTTGGTTGACAGCTGTATGGGTATGAAGAGCTTAGGAGAGGCACATCAATTTGTGATTTATCATGATCTAAATTGATTTTAATGACATAGGAAGTTAGAGTGTGTAGAGAAGGCAGGAGAAGATTCTCAAGGAACAGATTCTGAGATTTCTCTAAAGGAAGTGTAGGTTTCTGTCTCTGTGGCATCTTTCCGGGTATGCTGAGGGAAGAGTTTCATTGGTCAAACCAAGGTTGGGAGAAACTTCCTACCATGAAGATATGAGTCAATTATCTCTTCAACCTTTTTAAAAACACACATGCTTCTGTGGAAGAACTAAAAACTAAGGCTGAATTTTTTTTATTGTATTTCATTTTATTAAATTTTATTTTTTGTGTTTTACTGAGGCTTGGACTCAGAGCCTGAGTGCTGTCCCTTAGCTTTTTCACTCAAGGTTGGTGCTCTGACACTTAAGCCATACTTCCCCTTCTGACACTTTTGCTACTTAATTAGAGATAAGAGTGCCATTAACTTTCCTGCCCAGGCTGGCTTTGAACCATGAGCCTTACTCAGCCTCCTGAGTGGTTGGGATTATAGGCATGAGCCACCAGCACCCCATAAATTGAGTTTGTTTTAAATGAATCCAATAAACATCATTAATAACAGAATAGAATCTTAGCTAGCTAGGTCTCCAAACTAGTTGATAGTGGGAGTTGAACTCAGGATCTTGTGCCCTCTCTTAGCTTTTTCCACTCAAAAATGATGCTCTACCACCTGAGTCACAGCTTCACTTCCCTGCTTCTGGATGGTTAATTGGAGATAAGAGTCTCATAGACTTTTCTTACCATGTTTGGGTTTGAATTGTGATCTTCACATCTCAACCTTCGGAATAGCTAGGATTATAGGTGTGAGCCATCTAGCCTGGTTTAAGGTTTTGTGCCTTACAGCTCAGAATTTCTTTGGATTGGGGGAACAACTGAATCTACAGTTGGGTTCTGAATCTCTACAAATGCTTTATATGCAACTATTTGCAGTTGCTATACCCTGTTGCTCTGGTGGTGACCTGAGAACTCGTCTGTGTCAAACTCAGCTACATCTCTGTAAATTTCCTCACTTGAAATTTGGGAATGAAAATTTCCCCACCATCTTATTCATAGAACTTGTGATTTTAAGTGTATTTGAAAATAATAGGGATGCAATTTCAGTGGTTATTAATCATCATATATATTGGACTATTTTTTAAATTAAGTAATATGAATCCAAATATCCTGTATATTTTGGACCCAATATTACTATTTACAGAGTCTTACTTTGCTGAAAATGTTTGGTTAACAACTGTAGAAATGTTTCCTCCCTCACAGAATAAAAGATCCAGAAGGAAAAAAACCTCAGCTTTTATAATTTATTACATTGTTCCTTTGGATTTGAGTTTTCCTAAGAGAAACACTTTTATCTGAATGCTGCTACTTATTTGTGGACAGTCAAGTACACATTTCAGTACAAATGTTTATTGGGTTTTATAATAATATCATATAAAAATTGATTGCTTAAATGCAATCACAGAGTAAGTACAAATTTTGAGGAATGAAAGGATCAGCGAATTAAAAAAAACAAATAAATGTGTTTATTAAATTGATGGCATGTAAGAGTTATGTTTCATGGAAAGGTAAACATTTTTAGATTTTATTTTATATACTGCAATAAATAACTACCAAATGTCTAAGGCTTTTAAACACCTACATCATGGAAAATGAGAATCCGATGCATTAATTCCAACTAATTTTCTGTTAATATACCCATAAAATGTGACTTACTATGTCTCACAAAATATAAGCATATTTTCAGAAAGAGAGAGATGGAAACAGAGAGAAAGAGACAAAGACAGAAAATACATAAAGACACAGAGAGAGAGAATACAGAGAGAGAAAGAGAGGAAGAGAGAGAGAGAGAGAGAGAGAGAGAGAGAGAGAGAGAGGAGAGGAGCACAAACCCTGTAATTTAAAAGATAGGTCCCATAGGCAAAGTACAAAACATTTAACAACAGATACATATATTTTAAAAAGTGAGCAAGAGTAGGAGACCAGTGTAGCGAATACTTTCACAATATGGGAAACGTTGTACAGATTACATTCTAAACATGCTTACTGAAGATTACGCCATCAACACCCTGAAAAGAAGCTATGGTGAATTTACCAGTACGGATGAATTCTAGTGTGTCAAGGCTAATTTTTAAAAAAGCATAAAAATCTCCTAAAATGTTTTCAAATTATTCCTCCTGGGCACACCAAAGTACTTCAGGTATATTGCTAAGAGAACACTGCATTATTTAGCAATGTTAGGTAGGTGGTGTGGTTCAAAGTAATACCGTGAAACTCACTAGATGCACTGCAGTTGATCAAAACAGATTTCCACTGCAGTTGATCAAAACAGAGTTCCTTTGTGATATGTATGATCCATTCCCCTGGGGCAAGAAATGTTCCATCAATAAAAGCAACATTTCTTAAACATGTGCTGGCACTTATTCGTGCTGAAAAATTAAGTTTACGGTGATTTAGTCTATAGTACTAAGAGAAAAAAGAAGAGAACTGATTTTTCTTATATGCATGGGATGAAGAAACATATAGAGAAAATCCACTGCATCTTAGAAATCTCAGTTAGGGCTGAGCTCTGAGAACTAAGATGGTCCCAGCCCTAATTTAAAGAGGAAGAATGGCTACCATTGTACTTTTGGTACAGCTTATTCCAGATGGAGATCTGGAGAGGAAGGTTAGAATATCAGCTCTGTTTCCCTGTTACTCTTTTTTTTCTTAATTGTGAAAATACCGTACAGAGGGGTTACAATTACATGAGCAAGGTAATGAGTACATTCCTTATCAAGCACTGTTGCCTCCTCCTTTGTTCTCTGTTCTCTTGATAAGGCAGTTAATCTAGCAAATCCCTCCTGTTTGAAAATACCAGTAGGCTTCTACTGTTGTAATGATGTAGGGTTGGGTTCTGCAGTGGGCTAGAGCTTGCTAAGTAAAATTAGATTATTTCTGTGTATATGTGCTGATTGATACTGGCCTTGAACTCAAGGCTTGGGTTTTGTTCCTTAGGTTTTTTGTTCAGGAATGGTACTTTACTACTTGAACCACAGCTCCACTTCCAGGTTTTTTTCATAGTGATGGTTAATTGGAGATAAGACTGTGAAAGACTTTCCTGCTCAGGCTGACTTCAAACTTGATCCGCAGATCTCAGCCTTCCAAGTAGCTAGGATTATAGGTGTGGACCACTAGCACCTGTCAGTAAAGTTATATTAATTCTGCTATAAGTCTCATTTGGGACAGAGTTCATATCTATCTTGTTTATAGCCGCACTGAAGGTACTTAAGTAAATTAGAGAATCAGATATTAAATTAATCAGACAAATTGATATATTTAGACAAACATCACCACCATAGCTTCTTTGAGTATTTCCAAACATACAATTTAAAATGATAGTACAGATAGGAAGAAAGATAAAGCCACAGCGTAGTATGTCATTTTGAGCTTATTTATAATGTATGCTCAAGGTAAGCCACAGTCTTTGTAAATTGGAGACTTCAACTCCAAGTCTCAGTTCTACTTAATGCTCATGAAAATTCCAGGCAAGTTACTTACCCGCTCTGACTTTCAGCTGGCCAATCAATGAAAAAAAAAGTAAGAAGGCTCCTAAATTCATTAACTAATAGAAATAAACCAATGGATGTAATTGCTCAATACCATGTTTATATTCATGAAAAACATGGTATCAACTGGAAAATATGCAGAGTTTGTCTGGGCTTTCTTCCAACATTTGTTGTACTCTAATCTCTATTAGACTATGTAATAGCTTATAATCAGAAAACCATCTTTGCTTTTGGAAAAGAGCTTAATATTTAATAAAAAAAAAATCTTTTCTTCTAGATGATCTTAGCTATCGCTGGCTCTTAAATGAATTTCCTGTCTTTATCACAATGGACAAACGAAGATTTGTGTCTCAGACAAATGGCAACCTCTACATTGCAAACGTTGAGGCTTCTGATAGAGGCAATTATTCCTGCTTTGTATCCAGTCCTTCTATTACCAAGAGTGTGTTCAGCAAATTTATCCCACTCATTCCAATCCCTGAACGTAAGTATTTTACTTGTTGGGTTTAGTGAGATGGCTAATGTTTAAGAAGTTACAAAGGAAGGCCTTCTACATTGGAGATTCAAGCTGATCTCCCACTGCGTATAATTTAATATCATAGGAGATTCTAGATTCTAATTTCCTCGCACTAGCCTGGAACTTAATCATAATAAGTTATTTTTTTTTCAATTTAACTGACCTAGTTCAATTGGCTTCTTAACATGAGATTCTCATCATTGGGTGTTTTGTTTGTTTGTTTGTTTGTTTTTTGCCAGTCCTGGGGCTTGAACTCTGGGCCTAGGTGCTGCCCGGGGGCTCCTTTTTTGCTCAAGGCTAGCATTCTACCACTTGATCCACAGCATAATTTCTAGCTTTTTCTGTGATTAATTGGAGAGAAGAGTCTTAGGGACTTTCCTGCCTGGGCTGGCTTTGAACCAAGATCCTCAGATCTCAGCCTCCTGAGTAGTTAGGACTACAGGCGTGAGCCACCAGCACCGAGCGTCTGACAGTCTTTTGATAATTCTAACTCCTCCCTTAGGCAGTTCCTCTTTCTCAGTAGTTTGTTTTGTTTTGACTTACATGTGGTCAAAACATCATATATTTACTAGCCTCTTTAGTGTCGTACAATGTAAAATACATACAACAGATTGACTCTTTCTGAGCCTGTTTCTTATCCTTACAGATGGAGAGAATATCAAATTGTTCAGAATATATGGTAAAAGAATGACATCAAGTATCTAGATTAACTAGTACCATGTTGTAAATGTTTTCCTTTATTTCCTTTTCAACTTGTTTCTCATTTGTCTTCATCTCTGTGGACAATTCGTTTTTTTCTTTTTTTCTCTTTTTTCCTTCCTTCTTTCTCCTTTTCTTTCCTTTCTTTTTTCTTTTTTCTTTCTTCCTTTCTTCCTTCCTTCTTTTTTCTTTTTATCTTCTGTCTTTTCTTTCTCCTCTCTTCCTTCTTTCTTTTTTTCTTTTTATCTTGTCTTTTCTTTCTCCTCTCTTCCTTCTTTCTTTTTTTCTTTTTATCTTCTGTCTTTTCTTTCCTTCATTTCTTCCTTTCCTTCTTTCTTTCTTCCTTTCCTTCTTTCTCTCTTCCTCTCTTTCTTTAGGTGTCACTACTGGGGATTGTTTTGCCAGTACTCTTGCTTGTTTTGCTTTTCAGTTCAAAGCTGGCACTCTACCACTTGAGCCACACATCTTCTACTTCTCACTTTTTGCTGGTTAATTGAAGTTGAGTCTTATGGACTTTCCTGTGGAAGCTGGCTTTGAACCACAATCTGCAGATCTCAGCCTTCTGAATAGCTAGTGTTACAGGCATGAGCCTCTAGCCCCCAGCTCTCCCTCTTTCTTTTACACTTGCTCTTTTTCTTTTTTATTTTCCCCATTTCTTTTCTTTTTCTATCTATTGAAAATGCTTGATCAAGTTCATACTAATACCTAGTGTGTTCAAGCAAGTCACTATGGCAGGGCACTGGTAGCTCACACCTATAATCCTAGCTACTCAAGAAGCTAAGAGCCAAGACTTGTAGTTTGAAGCCAGCCTGGGCAGCAAAGTTTGTGAGACTCTTATCTCAACTAAACCATTCAAAAAAAGCCAGAAGTGGCCCTGTGGCTCAAGTGGTAGAGTGCTATCCTTAAGCATAAAGAGGCTCAGGGACAGGTCCAGGCCCTGAGTTCAAGCCCCAGAACTGGCAAAAAAAAAAAGAAAGAAACCCAACAAGCCATTACATTGTGGCTTGACCAATATCTACATAGAGGAAAGCCTTTTATATTAAAGCCATTCTAATCTTACAATAACACAATATTAAAAAATCATATTGTGCTTAATATTTCACAAATGTTTGTATTATTTTAATCATAGGAACAACAAAACCATACCCAGCTGATATCGTAGTACAGTTCAAGGACATATATGCACTAATGGGTCAAAATGTGACTCTAGAATGTTTTGCACTTGGAAAGTAAGTATACTTTTACTTTTCTCCGGCATGTAAAGACATGTTTATTTTGGGTCTGTGTGTGTGTGTGTGTGTGTGTGTGTGTGTGTGTGTTTGAGTGTTTGTGTTTGTGCCAGTACTAGGGCATGAAGTCAGGGCTTTGCACCCTTGCTTGGCTTTTTCAAATAGCGCTCTACCATTTGAGCCAAGCTCCACTTCTGGCTTTGGTGGTTAGTTGGAAAAAAGAGTCTCATAAACTCTTCTGTCCAGGCTGGCTTGGACCAGAATTCTCAGATCTCAGCCTCCTGGTTAGCTAGGATGACAGGTGTGAGCCCACAGGCAACATGGTTTTTGTCCCCTTTTAGGAAGTAAATGATGTGCATGGTTTACTGAAAACAAGAAAATGGTCTTTTAAGTGTTGTGGAGCTCAAGGTCTTGTTTCTTCTATTTAAAGTCCTGTTCCTGATATCCGATGGAGGAAGGTGCTAGAACCAATGCCTAGCACTGCTGAGATTAGCACCTCGGGAGCTGTCCTGAAGATCTTCAATATCCAGCTAGAAGATGAAGGCATTTATGAATGTGAGGCTGAGAATATTAGAGGGAAGGATAAACACCAGGCAAGAATTTATGTTCAAGGTAGATGTCTACATTTTCTGTGAAGTTCTTCAGTGTCTTACTCAGTCATTTCTACAATAACTGATAGTTTTAAAATACTGATATATATATATATATATATATATATATATATATATTACATTACATAGAAGGATATAAGATTTTTATTTTAATCCAAAATATACAATTAATGTAGTTCACTTATTCCCTTTATCATTCTCTCTTTCTCTTCATGATGGTATTGGGGTGAGAACTCAGGGCCCTACCTAGTTTGTTTTTTGTTTTGTTTTTTTTGTTTTGTTTTGTCAAGGCTGGTACTCTACCTTTTTTTTGACAGTACCTTTTTATTTATGGCAGAACTTAGACATTATGGCTGAGTTTGAATCAGTAGTGTGCATACTTTAATATTTATTGAGATTACTTATAGGACTTGTTAAAACATAGGCTTCTAGATCCTTCCTTGAGATTTCTGTTTCAGAAGGTCTAATGTGAACTTTGGAATATTTATTTCTAACAAGTTCCTAGAAGACGTAGATGCTTCCAGATCTGAAACCATACTTTGAGAACCTCTGGTGTAAGGAATCATTTTTCTTGCACAAAATTATCTTTCTTTGCTGTCTTCTTTGATTCTCGTACATTAAGATGAATATATCTGAGAAGAGAGATTTTTCTTTAAGATGACACTTGTAACTATTTTATTTCAGATCATTTCTGTGATGTTCTATAATGTGGAATAAAATACTCACAGGTTTCAACAAGATCATTTTTTTTTTTTTTTTAACCAGTAATAGGGCTTGAACTCAGGGCCTGGGAGTTGTCCCTGAACTCTTTCACTTAAGGCTAATGCTCTGCCACTCGGGCACAACTCCACTTCCAGCTTTTTGGTGGTTCACTGGAGATAAGAGTCTCACAGACTTTCCTTCCCCAGGCTGGCTTGGCTTGGAACCACGATCATCAGATCTCAGCCTCCTGAGGATTATATTTATTTTTAACTCTACAGAGTTCCCTATTTCTCTTGCTTTAGTCTCTTCCAAGGAGACAAAAGTTGAGGTCTAATTCTTGAAAACTCCAAATTCATTCTTGGACAGATTTGAATTTACATTGAATAGAAAAAAAAATCGAGTATGGATTCGCTTTCCAGACAAACATAATTTAAAGCAGAACTAGAAGTACTAATTAAATTATAGTTTCTTTATTTTGTAACAACTTCCACCATTTCAATGGTGGTAACATTTATTTCAGGACACATGCAATAATTCATGTGTACTTCAAAATAATGTTAAACAAATGTATCATTTATACTTACAATGATGGTGGCTGTGCCAGGAGCCTGTGACTCATGCCTATAGTCATAGCCACTCAGGAGGCTGAGATCTGAGGATCATGTTTCAATGTCAGCCCAGGTAGAAAAGTTTGTGAGACTCTTTATGCCCAATAAACTACTCAAAAATAAAAATTATGGTGGTTGTTAAGGTTTGTGCTTGCCATTCATCGTGTTCTTTGCTTTGTAGCGTTTCCAGAATGGGTAGAACATATCAATGACACAGAGGTTGACATAGGCAGTGATCTCTACTGGCCTTGCATAGCTACCGGAAAACCCATCCCTACCATCCGATGGCTGAAAAATGGATATGCGGTATGTACAGGCAGTGCTTTGTTATCCTGGAGTCCTTATTCAGGAAACATTTGAGGGTGATTACAAGATAAATAGAGCAGGAATGCCAAAAACGTATGGCGTACTTTATAATACAAAGGTTTCGTTAACCAATTTTTTTTTAAAAAGCAAGCAAGAAGCTAAATATTAAATATCTTGAGTTTAAACAACTTCCTGTGATCTTATCTTTACCTTCTCTCTTTCTCTTTCTCTCTCCTTATTTTTTTCCTTTGTTCCACTTTGTTCCCCTTCTTCTTACTCATCCATCTCCACTTGCCTGCTATTGCCCTCCTTTTTCTTGCCTCTGTTTCCCTGAACCTCACAGAAACAGAGGTTAAGAGTGACCCCCTAAGTCCTACCTTTAGCTCTGGGGACAAGTAGCTTCCCTATCTTCTCCCTGTAATTTCCCAGCTGGCCCCAGAGGAACAAAGATGGAGCCTCAGCTCTGTAAGATGAATAGAACAAGAGCCACTGGGCATGGTAAGTGGGCTTTTCTTCCCCCATGCCATGAAAATCTCACTGTGCATTTTAGGTGAACAGTAGGAAAGATGAAAAAAACAAGCCCAAAACCTACAAGAAAGACATTTTTTAATTCAAGTTCATCAAGACTATTTGATTTTCATCCATTCCAGTACCATAAAGGGGAGCTGCGACTCTACGATGTGACTTTTGACAATGCTGGCATGTATCAGTGCATTGCAGAAAACACTTATGGAGCCATCTACGCCAATGCTGAGCTGAAGATTCTGGGTCAGTGTCATTTCTGATTTCTCTTCAACGTGCCTCCCGCAAACCACAAGAGCAAAAGATGATAAAGTACTCAGAGATCACCTTGGGTTGAATTTGATTTTTATTTTTGTTGTACCAGTCCTAGGGCTTCAATTCAAGGCCTGGGCACTCTCCCTGAGCTTTTTGGCTAAAGGCTAGAATTCTACCACTTGAGCCACAGCTCTATTTCCAGCTTTTTTTGTTTTGATAGTTATTTGGAGATAAGAGTTTCATGGACTTTCCTCCCTGGGCTGGCTTTGAACCATACACTGTTCCTTAGCTTTTTTCACTTAAGGCTGGTGTTTTGCCACTGAGCCTTACCTCCACTCTGGCTAAAGTACTGTAACTCTTTAAAATTTTCTTTTGTTCTTTGAAGATTCTCAGTGCATGTACTTAGAATGAAAGCAATAGTTGGTTAAATTGCATTGTTTAAATAGATTTTAATTTAATTAATTCCTTTTGTGCCAGGGCTAGGTTTAAACTCAGAGCCTGGGTGTCGTTCCTTAGCCTTTTTCACTCAAGGCTGACACTTTATCACTCTACTTCCAGCTTTTCTTTTTCTAGTTAATTGGAGATAAAATTCCCAATCTTAGGCTGGCTTTGAACCACAATCCTCAGATCTCAATCTCCTGAATTGCTGGAATTACCTGACTTTATTTTTAAGTAGCTAAACTGTGTAGTCATTTTGAGTTAACATGGAACATCATATTCTTTCAGCATCTTAAAATGGTAAAGCAAAACTTAAATGTGCTACTTATTGATGGATTGATGGACTGATTGATGTTTGTGGTACGGGGATCAAACCCCAGTCTTTGTGCATACTAGGCAAGTACTCTACCTCTGAGCTATGCTTTCTGCTTTTGACCACTTCGTGTGGGCGGGGGGGGGGGCAGAGGGGGAGCAGGGACGGCCATCCTAGGACTTGAATTCAAGGTCTAGGTGCTGTCCCTGAGCTTTTTCACTCAAGTTCAATGCTCTACTATTTGAGCCACAGCTCCACTTCTGTCTTGGGGGCTAGTTTATTGGAGATAAGAATCTCATAGTCTTTCCTGCCCAAGCTGGCTTCAAACTCCAGCCCTCAGATCTCAGTCTCCTAGTAACCAGTAGCAACCTGCCCTTGTACCACATTGGACAAGTTTTTCCTCTCTAATATCTGTCAGTGAATACTGACTGCAAAGTTACATGGAAGTGAAGACTAGTAGTAAAATATGCATATAATCCAGGCTCCTGTAAGGTTCCCCTCTTTGGGGCTTTCCTCATCCCTGGACTTAATATCTTATAATTACTAATCAAAAACTCCAACCACCAGGAAATGGAAACAAGAGATTTTTTTTTTCTTCATTGCTGTTTTGTTTTGTTCTTATGTTTTGTTGTTCATTTATCTGCCTTTGGTGGGGGGCGGGTAAGACGGACAAAAGGTGAACAAACATAGCAGTGGTACGCACTAGAAACTACGTTGAAAATGAACCATACAACTTGTGGGTGAGGCTGGGAGGGACAAGTTGGGAGAGAGCGAGGGATGGAGTGACATTGTCCAGAAAGAAATGTACTCAATACCTGACTTATGTAACTGTAACCCTTCTGTACACTACTTTTACAATAACAATAAAATGAAATTAAAAACTCCAGCCAGACACAGAGACAGTGCCTAGGCCCTGAGTTCAAGTCCCAGTACTGGCATATACCAAAACTAAAATAAGGAATGGGGGCTGGGAAGGTGGCTCAGTGGTAGAGAGCTTGCCTTGCATGTGTGAGGCCCTAGGTTCATTTCCTCAGTACCTCATAAGCAGAAAAAAGTCAGAAGTGGCTCTAGCTCAAGTGGTAGAGCGCTAGCCTTGAGCTGAAGAGCTGAGGGACAGTGCCAGGCCCAGAGTTCAGGCCCACAACCGACCAGAAAAAAAAAAAAAAAGGAATGATGGGTTCATTAATAAAAAGAAAAACTTATTCATTTGTTTTCCTTTTTAGCTTTGGCTCCAACTTTTGAATTCAATCCAATGAAGAAGAAGCTTCTGGCTGCTAAAGGAGGAAGGGTGATCATTGAGTGTAAGCCCAAAGCTGCACCAAAACCTAAGTTTTCCTGGAGCAAAGGAACAGAATGGCTTGTCAACAGCAGTAGGTCAGTTCTGAAACGGGAGACATCTAATTGATATTAACCACAAATGGGAGGTTTATTCTGTAGAAGACATGTTTGCATACTATTAATCTAATTATTTCCTCCAACTTTTCTTCATAGGATTTACTGTCATAAAATGAACAGAGGGGCTGGGAAGGTGGCTCAGTGGTAGAGCGCTTGCCTTGCATGCCTGAGGCCCTGGGTTCGATTCCTCAGCACCACATAAGCAAAAAGAAAAGAAGCCTGAAGTGGTGCTGTGGCTCAAGTGGTAGAGCGCTAGCCTTGAGCTGAAGAGCTGAGGGACAGCGCCCAGGCCCAGAGTTCAGGCCCATGACAGGACCCCCTCCCCCCCAAAAAAAAAAGAACAGAAATACTTGTTCATCCAAACCAGTATCTAGTCAAGTTACGGTTAAGTTTTCAGGATGTGTATTGTGTATGTGTGCATGTCTGTCTGTGTTTGTATGTCTATGTCTGTTTCTGTGCCTGTGTGTGTGTGTGAATGAGTTTTGAGGCCTACGCACTGTCCTTTAGGTTTTTCTGTCAATGCTGGCACTCTACCACTTGAGCCACACCTTTACTTCTAGCTTTTTGGTTATTCATTGGTGGTAAGGGCTTTTCCTGCCCAGGCTGGCTTTTAACCAGGACTCACAGCAGGATTGTGTGATTTGTAAGAAATTTAGAAAATGGAAGCACAGAGCTATCTGTAAATTGCTTAAGTCCACATAGCTAATAAATAATGGGGAATGAAACAAGATTTTTCTTCCTTTTTCCTTAACAAAGGCATTGATAACCATTCATGTTTGTATAATTTTACACAAGTACCTACTATGTATTTTGATAGGAAAACACAGTGGTAATTTCAAAAGTAACGTATCTTCCCATGTTCTAAAATCAATAGTTGTTCTCACCCGTATCCCAACAATTAGACCATCTGCCAATATTTTGGTGGGATTCTACCACTTGAGCCACGTCTCCAGCCTGTCCTGACTTTTTGTTGGTTTATTTATTTACTTACTTTCTTATTTATGTATTTATTATGTGCTTGTCCTAAGGCCTGAACTCAGGGTCTGGATGCTGCCCCTTGAGCTTGTTTTGCTCATGGCTATTACTCTGTCACTTGAGTCATGACTTTACTTTGGACTTTTTGTTGGAAATAAATTTGTTGGAGATATGAGTCTTATAGACTTTCCTGCTCTGGCTAGCTTCAAATCGTGATTCCTTTTGATAACTCAGCCTTCTGAGTAGTGAAGATTACAGGCATGAGCCTTTGTTTGCTTGTTAGACTTTCTTTAAAACAGACTATACATTTGTATGTTTTGCATACACCCTCAAAGATAATTTGAAGTTTTGGAAATGGCATACTTAGGAAAAGTAAAATCCACTACCCCACTCTTGTAATCCTAGCTACTCATGAGGCTGAAATCTGAGGATGACAGTTCAAAGCCAACGTCAGCAGGAAAGTCCATGAGATCTTATCTCCAATCAGTAATTAAAAAAAATAGACAGAAGTAGAGCTGTGGGTCAAGTTGAATGAAAAAAAAGCTAAGGAGACTGTAACCAGACCCTGAGTTCAAGTGCCAGTCACATACACGCATACACATACAGAGTAAAATCCAGTGGGAAACAATACAATCTAAATATGAGAAGCTATATTAATAAAGCAGTTTTTTTTGTTTTTAGCACCTTAGAAAGTATGAACAGAAATATGGAAAAGGTGCAACATAAAAGATTAAGAAATTCCCAGAGGAATTTCTGTTACAGAAGCTGTTACTAAGGGAGAGTCTAAAAAAAATATTTCTTCAAAAGTTTCTTTAAAAATGTGTATATTTTTCTGTAGCAGTAGAGTGACAGTCTGTCCTAACTTCCAAATATGAAGTCTTGAAGTTATATTTCTAAAATAACTGGATTCATTGCTTTCAGGCCTGTAACCTGTGGGATCTTGTTACATAGTGGTTTAAGTCACATTTTATGATAGAGTGTGGAAAACCACTTGCTTCATTAAGACAAATGTGGTTCATTAATTTAAAAGGGAGGGGACACTGGTGGCTCATGCCTGTAATCCCAGCTTCTCAAGAGGCTGAAATCTGAGGATTACGGTTCAAAGACAGCCCAGGCAAAAAAGTCCATGGGACTCTTATCTCCAATTCACCGCCAGAAAACCAGAAGTGGAGCTGTGGCTCAAGTGGTAGAGAGCTAGCCTTGAGCACAAAGAAGCTCAGGGACAGGGCCCAGGCCTTGAGTTCAAGTCCCATGACCAACCAAAAAAAAAGACTTCTTGAAAGCCTGCACTATGATTAGCATCTGCCTACTTAGTGTCTTTAAGCAAATAATTATTTGTTCTAAGTAATATGCAGCTGTTATTACATGCCACCGTGCAGTATCCTGGTCCTTGGTCCCATCTTGGATCCGATACTTTAATTTAGTCCTTTCATGGCTATTTGATTGATTATAGCGAAGAGAATATTCATGGCCAAAGGAATTTCATCTTGTCTGTTGTGTGCTGACCATTTTCATACCTTTTATGGAATATATGAAATTTGTTTAATATATTTTTGGCAATATATGATCTGTAATTTTTTCATCCTCCCCTCTTCTTCCTCCTCCTCCTTTTTTTTCTCTCTCCCTTCCTTCCTCTCTCCCTCCCCCCCTCTCATTTTCCTGAGCATTTTTACTCAAGGTTGGCTGGCACTCTACTACTTGAGCCACAGCTCCACTTCTGGCTTTTTTGGTGGTTAATTGTATGTAAGAGTCTCATGGACTTTATTGCTTAGGCTGGCTTCGAACCACGATTCTCAGATCTCAGCCTCCTAAGTAGCTAGTATTACAGGTGTGAGCCACCAGCGCCCAGCCATATCAGCATATTTTTTTAAACAATGATTTGACTTTTGTGATACCAGATCCTGCTTAGGAGTTTTGGATAGATCTAATCTATAAATATCCCTCCTGGGAATGCAAAACCTTCTCCACTTTCCTCTTCATTGGAGGGCATATGTTCACAGCCTGGTCCTTTCCCTGCTCCTTGCATAGCATTTTCCTAATTAAAATTTCCATCTTTCCAGGCACTGGTAGCTCACACTTGTAATCCTAGCTACTCAGGAGGCTGAGATTT